TTTACATGCAATTGGAAAGAATAAAATGCTATTGAGTGGGGAAAAAATAAATAGAGCAGGATGCTTTCAGAAAAACCTGGGCGGGGGAAGAGCTTTTTAACCCAAAAGAAGGATTCTCTGTGGTAGGAGTTTAGGTAGTATGTGTATATTTTGGGGGTGGTGTAGGCAATAGGGACCCTTCCTGGAACACCATTTGATTTAGAGAATTACCTACTCTAGAGGTAGGCTGGCCCTGGTGTTTTGTCATCTTATGTTATAGGTAGAAAGGTGAGGAACAGAAATGGTGATTTACCTCTACTGACTCTCCAGTCACAGAGTGATTTTGTAGTATGTTGATACATGTTGAAAGGCAGTTGATATCTTTGTTAGCCAGAGTGGCTGAAAAGGTGATACTATCAGTAACCCTTTCTGTTAGTTCTATGACTCTAGCTACAATTTGTAAAACCTTGTTTGGATTTTAAGCTTGTGGTTAGTGAGACCACTAACCTACTTTAGATAACTAGCTCCAGCTAGCCCAGTCATGGAGTCCTTGATGATGTGTTCACTCTTACACCTCAGCCTCGTTTTTGCCTCCTTCATCTTCCCATCCATTTGCTTCTTGGATAGCCTGCTGTTCTTGATTCTTCTCACAGAGCCAGCACAGTGGGGTTGCACCATGGTGAATGTGGTTTCAAGACTGGGAGCCTGGCTTTTTTCCATGACTGCCCTGCTGGAGATCATCCTCCCATTTAATAAGTGTATGCTATCTTAAGTTGCATCAAGTTTGATTTATTTTGGACTTGGAGAGCTAGCAAAAATGAATAGGTATTAGTACAAAGTCAGAGGCTGTTGCATGTAGCTACAGCAGTGCAGTCAATGTGCATAGCATGATGATCTCAGTCTCTCTTGCATTAATGGAATTAATACAACACCATACTTAAGGTTCATCATTTTATTTACTCTGCACATATTACCTCCCATGGTGTAAGGGTGAGACATGATTGCTTTTGCTCCCCTAACAAATGCTTAGACTTTTCCTCCACGAACATATTTCCTGGGCCTGTATAGTCTCATGCTGATACATGCTATCACATTGTTGAAAAAGTAGAAGCACCAGGGCTAGTTTGGTCTCTCTACCATCACATCCAAAGGGGCGCTATTTTTGAGGTGATTTCTTTTTTAATTAATTAATTAATTAATTTTTAGTTTTGAACATTCATTTCTGCAAGATTTTGCATTCTAAATTTTCTCCCCATATCACCCTTCTCCTCACCCCAAGATGGAGTGCATTCTGAATACCGCTTCCCCTAATCTGCCCTCCTTTCTATCTCCCCCCTTCTCTTATCCTCTTCCACTTCTCTTTTGCTGCAGGGCAGGATAGATTTCTATACTCCATTGCCTATATATATTATTTCCCAGTTGCATGTAAAAGCAATTTTTAACATTTATTTTTAAAGCTTTGGGTTCCAAATTCTCTCCTTTCCTCTCTCCCTACCCACCCTCATTGAGATCGCAAGCAACTCGATACAGGTTATACATGTGTGGTCATGCAAAAACATAGTAGTTATGTTGTGAAAAACTAATTATATTTCCCTTCATCCTATCTCGCCCCCCCATTTATTCTATTCTCTCTTTTGACCCTGTCCCTCCTCAGAAGTGTTTGCTTCTAATTACCCCCTCCCCCAGTCTGCCCTCCCTTCTATCATGCCCCCCTCTTATCCCCTTCCTTCCTGTTTTCCTGTAGGGTAAGACAGATTTCCATACCTAATTGAGTAACACCATACTTATAACTATATAACTATATAAGCAAATATGTATATATATATATAAAAGCAAATAGCTTAGAACTAGTGCTTAAATTCATAAAATTTTAGAACTTGAAACAATGTCAGTTATCTACACAAATGAAGGGAAGCAAAGTTGCTTATAACTCCAAATAGCAGTCAATATGGGTATTTAGTTTTGAAATATGACTTGTTTAAAGCGCTGTATATTCATCATGGTCATATGGTTTTGAGTTAGGTGTAGCATTTAGCTTTGCTGTGTTCACTGGTCACATAAATACATCACTAACCTGAGCCAAGGTTACCAAAAACTATTTCCTCTCTTGGAAAAACAACTCTTAAACATATAACCTATGGATTTATAGACATTGGGGAGATTGATAGTATCATCTTCATATACAAGCACTGTATATTAATCTTAAGAGTTGAAAGGCACCTTTGAGGTGATCTCATCTGTATGTACCTGAATAGGAATTCCCTCTAAAATATTCCTGATGTTAAGTAGTAATCTTACATTTGCTTGAAGACCTGCAGAGGCAGTCCTTTCTATTTTGGGACAGCTCTTAATTTATTTAGGAAATATTTCTTTTACAGCAAGCTGAACCCTGTTTCTCTGCAACTTCCATTTGTTGTTTCTAGTTCTGCCTACTAGGCTGAAGCAGGAGAAATCTGATCTTTCTTCCACCTTAGAGCCTTTTAAGTACTTGAAGACAGCTATCACGTTCCCTTCGTCTTTTCTTTCTCCAAGTTAAACTTCCTTAGCTTCTTTAATCCATCTTGTGATGCCATGATCTCCTGTCTCATTACTATCTTGGTTGCTCTCTGGATGTGTCTCATCTTTTCAGTGCCCTTCCTAAAGTGTGATGCCCTGAGCGGAACATAATAAAGAAATCTAAACGTGATCTGACAAGAGAAGAGTACAAATGATGGCCCTTGTTCTTGATTCTATGCTTGTCTTAATTTAAATTAAGGTTCCATTACTTTTTTTTTTTTGACTGCCTTGTCATACGGTTGAGTAAACTTTAAGCTAGCAGTCCTGTAAAGCTCCTAGATCTTTTTTTTTTCCTCCGTGTAAACTACTGGCTAGGTAGTCCTTCCCCTATCTTATATTTGTATAGTTGTTTTTTGTGTGTATGCATTTGTTTCTATTAAGTCTCTTCTTATTAGCTTTGACCCATTATTCTAGCTTGTTGAGACTTTGGATCATGACACAAGCTTCCCCTCTTTGTGTCATCTGAAATGCCATTAAGCATGCCATCTTTGTGTTCATTCAAGTTTGGTTTTTAAGAAAATTTGTACATCACAAGGCCAAGAACAGATTTCTGGGGCTTTCCATTATGGACTTTTTCCCAAGTTGACATCCATGTATTAATGCCCATTTTTATATTCAGTTTTTCAACTGGTTCTGAATCCACTGGGTGGCATCATCATATTATCCACAAACTTGAGAGACTTTTGTCAAATGCTTTCCTGAAACTGAGACATAATACAATGTCTGTGACATTTTCCTGATCTCCTAATAATTTAAGAAACAAAACAAAACAAAACAAAAGGTTTTGCTGGATTTTGGTGTTCAGTGTTTCCATCTTTAAATGCTCACAAACTATCCCTTTAATGACCCATCCTAGAATTTTACTAGTATTTTAAGTCAAGCTTATTGTCTGTGTTTTGAAGATTCCACCCTCTCCTCTTCATTGAAAATGAGCACATTTCTGTTCCTTAGTCCTGTGGCACTTCTTTTTCCTCTCTCTTATTATCTATGAATTTTCAAGGCTGAGTAATAATAGTGGTTTGGCAATCACCTATGTCAGTCTTTTTAGTACCAAGGATATAATTTGCCCTGACCTGGTGACTTAAATTCATTGAGGATAATGAAGTCTTCTCTTACTGATCTTTTTAAGGTGCTATTTTTATTATCTTTTCTAGTATAAAGATCAGTATCTGCTTGGTAAAGAAGCATAAGAGTTAAATAACTGTCTTCTCTCCTTTTGTTATTATCCAACCCACTTGAGCAGCAGCAGTCCCATCCCTTCTTTCATTTCCCCGGTATATGCCAAAAGAGTTCTTTTTAGTTTTTTTTTTGTCTGTTTTTTGTTTTTGTTTTTGTTTTTTTTTTTTACAATTTACCACAAGCCTCAGCTCTTTTTGAGCTATAATAATAATAATAAATGACATTTTGAAAGAGAAATTTTTATTCTAAACTTAGTAATTATCAGCAAAAACATTCAAGTAAGCAAAATAAAATGAACTCCACTAATTTTTTTTAAAAGATGTATTGTCTAACAAAATTATAACAAAAATGAACTGTTTGCCATGGAAAGATTTATATGAAGTGATGCAGTGAATAAAGCCAAGCCAAAAGAAAGAATGACAGTGACTGCAAAATACTATTTGATCCCTGCAGTGTTGGACATTGATTACTACCCCCTTCTTTTGGATACTTTCTCCTCTAGGCTTTTGTAACACTACTCTGTTGTGTTGAAATTTCCTCTTACCTGCCTGATTGATCCATCTTGGTCTCTTTTTCTGTGTCATCATCCATAAATCTCCCTAGTGTGGATGGGTATATTCTAGGGCTCTTGTCCTGGGTACTCTTCTCTTCTACAAACGCTCATCAGCTTTCACAAGTTGGACTTCTCTTTCTGCAGATGGTTCACAAATCCTTGTATGCATTTCTCTTCATTTGCTGAATCTCCAGTCCCATAGCTCCATGAAGGGAGCATGAAGGGTAGGCAAAGCAGGAGCTTTAGAAGTTTATGCTAGAGGGAGACGAATGGTAGGGGGCATCTGGGTGTATGTATTTTGGGGGTAAGTGTACTTAGGTAGGGAGTGACTAAAGAGGGGTATTACCTACATCTAGGGCTATGCTACTTAGGTATTTCTGAATAACACCTGAGTGCCCCAGTTCCGGGAGTGGGTTGAAATTTATTTTAAAATTTGCAAAGTGCTTTACATACATTCCTATTTGAGCTTCACAACAACTCTGTGATGTACTACAAGTATTATCCCCATTTTACAGATGAGCAAGTTGAGGCTGAGAGGGGCTAAATGACTTGCTCATGTTCTCACAGCTATTATGTGTCATGGGTAGGATATGAATGAAGACAAAATAAAGAAGGATGTGTCTCTAAATTGGCATTGGGTACCTTCAGCAACACAGAACATCTGGTAGGCCTTTGGTGGTGGATGAGTTTTTCCTCTACACTGACAGCTGTGTTCTTCCTTTCTCTCCCACAGTTCCAGAAGCTTTTGGTTCCGTAAGTGTTGGTTTGAGGAAGCTTAATCCTGTCCTGAGGTTGCCTCAGAAACAAAAGGGACTATCTTCCTTTGAATAAGGTAAAAATCTCTTTTAAGAAATTCACTGAGGAAGGGACAACTCTATCCCAAACTACTACTTTTAAAAGTAGATATTTCCATAGAAATATAGATTCAGAACTGGAAAGGACCCAGAGAAGTCCAACCTTCTTATTTTACAGATGACAAACCAAGGCTCAAAGGTTAAATGACTTGTCCAGAGTCATGCAGTAGTAAATAAGTACAGTAGAGGCAGGATTTGAACCCAGGTTTTCAAATGTAGCACTCCTTCCATTGCACAAACCCTGTAGTATTCTACTTATGGAAGAGGCCGTGCCTTTGGGTCAAATATAAAATGTTGTGCATTCAAGTATTTTTCACAGACCTTGGTGTGACATCCTCTCAATTACTAAAGTTTATTGTTTCTTTCCATTTTACAAACTAGTGAGGGAGCCAGCAGTGACAAGCAGCGATGGAGTGCTGGTCTACCAGTTCCCAGTCCAGCACTGTTATCTGTAGTTATGCCTCCTGCTTCATGTGCTCCCATAGCCCTCTGTTTCTGAAAAGGAGAGATGGTCTGTGATCGAGAGCAGGAAAGTACCTCAAGAGGCCATCCAGTTCAGTCTCCTTATTTTGTAAATAAAAGGAAACTGAGACCCAGGGAGATTAGTGAGTGATTTTTCTTCCAAGGTCTCACAAGTAGTAGACATCGAAAGAAGGATTTGAATCCAGGTCTTCTGACTCCAAAGCCAGGGCTTTTTGTACTGTACCAGAAAAAGATCATAGGCCAAAAGCTACTTCATGATTTCAAATATAAAATATTATTGCCCTCTCTTGGGATATAGTGGATCTCTCCTAACCTTAACCTTTACTTGACCCTACCTAAAGGGAATATCCTCTATCGTAGCTCCTTTGCATAACCAAACTCCTAGAAAAGTGGTCTGTGCTTGTTTGTGTCTACTTTCTTACCTCCCACTGATTTCACTTTGCAGGCTCATTCCCAAACTCATCTCTCAACTGAAACAGCTCATCAGATCTCTTAATTGCCAAATGCAGTAACCTTTTCTTAGCCTGCATCCTTCTTGACTTCTGTGTAACATTTGACACTGTTGACTCCTTTCTATACACACATCCTAGATTTTCATGATAGTGCCTTCTCCTGGTTCTCTTACCTATCCGGCAGTTGTTCCTCAGACTCATTGTCTATGTTCCACCTCCTTTGTATGGACTCCTTGCAAAGTTGACTGGACTTGGGGTTTTTTTCGTTATTAATTTTACTCCCTTCTTCCCTTAAATATTAATCCAAACACTGACCTTTCAGGTCTCAGGAATCAGTAGCAAAGGGTATATCTTCAAATAGTATGTCTCCCTCACTTGTTAAATCTGGGGGTTGGGCTGGAAGATCCCCAAATCTCTTGATTCTGTGTGGGTATTGAATAGAAGTTCTAGACTGTTTGGAGGGGTTCATGTTTACAATGAGACCAGCTCTAAATGAATTGATGGAGATATGAGTGAAGTAACTGTAGGCACATCCTAGAATCTGTGGTTTCTCTATTAAAAGGCATGGAACATAAGGCAAGCTTTTAAGGGACAGGCTTCTGACAACACTGAAGATTCCAGTTTTGACAGAGAGTTTTGTTTTCCAGTGCATTAACTGGACCAGCTTGGATGTCATTTTTTTTGTTCAAAGGAAAAGTGCTGCTTGGGCCAGTTAGTGGAAGGTAGCTCAGCAAGCTGTGGATTATGTTCAGAGAATGCTTAAGTTTGTGGCCTACTGCCTTGCTAGGAAAATGTTTAATCAAAGATTGTCCTGAAAACCTTCAAGCCTGGGCCCAATGAGTTTTCGACCATCCTGAAAACTTTCTTTGCAGTTATTTGGTTAAACTCTATATTTTCTCCATAGGTCAGCAAAGATGTCCAATGACCCCCCCCCTCCCTATCCTGGGGACCCCTCAGCTCCCCTGTTGGAGGAGAAGACTGGAGGCCCACCTGGTACAGGTAGGTCTTTTCATGATGGAAAAGCCACTGGCTTACAAGGGGGCTCCTTAGGGTTCAAAGTTCAGACTGTTGAGGCAGCTTCTTTCTGAGACATTGAAGGAAAGAGCCTGAAGAAATATGTCAAGGGGGCAGGTAGGTGGTGCAGTGGATAGAGCACCGGCCCTGGAGTCAGGAGTACCTGAGTTCAAATCTGACCTCAGACCAAACACTTGTCACTTACTAGCTGTATGATCCTGGGCAAGTCACTTAACTCCAATTGCCCTCACCCCCCCCAAAAAAAAGAAGAAAAAAGAAATATGTCGAGCAACATTGATCTGCCCAATTACTAATCTAAGACTAAAATTCCAGAAGTTCTCTCACCTAGGGAATTGTCAGCTTTCTCCTTTTCTCAGAGGCAAGTTTTAACTCTGAGCAAATGCAGACCTAAGAGAGAAGCTGACAGGACCTCTTCTCTCTTTCTGCAGGCAGAGCCTCACCAGCTATGGTCCAACCCCCTGGCATACCCCTACCCCCACCAGACATTGGGCCTCCTCCCTATGAGCCACCACTTCATCCGATCCCTCAGCCGGGCTTCATCCCTCCTCACTTGAATGCAGATGGTACTTACGTGCCCCCAGGTAAGTTGAGAGGGCCTATAGTAGGAGACTAGTTTTTGGAGAGAATCTCCTGAACCTCTTATTACCTTAATTCATTTTCCCCCTCAGTATAGCTTCCTGCCTGATTGTAGGTAATGGGACTGTCCTAGCTTTGATTCATTCTACATTCTGTGTTTGAGAATACCTGCTCTCCAGCTACTATAAGAAAGACTAAACAATCAACAGTTCTTTTCCTCAAGCATAGTAGAGGGTTTTTGTGTTTTGTTTTGTTTTGTTTTGTTTTTTTGAGGGAGGAAGGCAGACACTGGAGAAGATAACCATATAGTGTAGTTTAAGATAAGTGGCAAATGAATGGTAAATTTAGACAGTAAGTGCTAAAAGCATTCTGTCCTCTTCAGAGATGTATGCATTCATTTTATTTTTTTAATTAAATTTTATTTTCAGCTTCAAATTCTCTCCCTCTCCTTTCCCCCTCTCCTGACCCAGTGAGAAAGCAAGAAATACAAAACGCATTACAAGTATGTATAGTCATGCAACCAAATTTGCTTAAAAAAATTTTTTTAATAATAATTTATTTTTTTCCAATTACATGTGAAAACAAATTTTAACATTCATTTAAAAAAAATTGAGTTCCACATTCTCTCCCTCTCCTCCTTCCTCCCTGAGACGGAAGCAATTTAACATAAGTTATACATGTGTAATCACAAACCAGATTTCTGCATTAACCATATCTAAAAGCAGGAAGGGGCACAAGAAAAAGAAAATGTGTTTCAGTCTGCACTTTTAGGTCCATTAGTTCTTTATCTGGAGCTGGACAGTATGTTTCATCATGAATCCTTTGGAATTATGGTTGGTCATTATGTTGATAGTCTTTTAAAGTTGACTATCTTTACAATATTGTGGTTAATGTATAAATTATTCTCCTGGTCCTGTTCACTTCACTTTGCATCTTATTATACAAGTCTTCCCAGGTTTTTCTGAAATCATCCCTTTCATCATTTCTTATAGCACAATATTTCATCACATTCATTTACCATACTTGTTCAGTCATTCCTCAATTGATGAATATCCCCTCAGTTTCCAGTTAGTTCTTTACCACCACAAAAAGAGCTGCTCTAACTGTTTTTGTACATATGGGTCCTTTTCCTCTTTCTTCGATCTCTTTGGGGCATAGACCTAGTAGTAATATCACTGGGTCAAAGGGTATTCACAATTTCATAGGTTTTTGGGGCATAGTTCTAAATTGCTGTTCAGAATGGTTGGACTAGTTGATAGCTCCACCAGAAGTAGACTAGTGTGCCTATTTTCTCACATGCCCTCCAGCATTTATTATTTTCCCTTTTTGTCATCTTAGTCAGTGTGATAGGTGTGAAGTAGTATCTCAAGAGTTGTTTTAATTTGCCTTTTTCTAATTTTTCGTGATTTAGAGCATTTTTTTCATATGACTGTTGATATCTTTGATTTCTTCCTCTGAAAACTGCTTATGGGACGTGACTCTTATTCTCATAAATTTGACTTAGTTACCTCAATATCTTTAAGATCTTTATCAGTAAAACTTGCAGCAAAGATTTTTTCCCCCAGTTTCCTGCTTTTCTTCTAATCTTAGCTGCACTGGTTTTCTTTGTGCAAAAAACTTTTAATTTTATATAACTAAAATTACCCATTTTACCTCCTGTGAACCTCGTTTGAACAAAATATTTTCCCTTATCCATTGGTTATTTCTTCCACGATCCACTAAGTTGCTTACAACATAACCGTTTATATCTAAATTATGTATCCATTTTGAGCTTATTTTGTGGCTCAACAAAAGGCATTCATTTTCCATGTCTCTAGAACAGGGATTCTTAATCTGGGGTTCAATGAATTTGTTTTTTTAATATTTTGATAACTGTGTTTCAGTATAGTTTTTGTAATCCTGTGTCCTTTATGCATTACCTGAGGGGGTCCATGACACAAGAAAAAGTTAACCCCTGATCCTAAGAGCTTTGGAAACAAACATATAGGTGTCTTTCAGCTATGTATGGCAAGCGTTCATGTGGTTCCAGTTATTCATCTGAGCAAGGTTGCTTAAGGCTTCCACTGGTTAATAAGTGCCTGAAGATCCTCCACTCTTTTGGGCTCTCTTGTGAAATCATACTGTAGCACAAAGTCCTTGAAGGGGATGAGTGAGTAGGGAAAACCTCAAGGTTGGAGTCCTTAGCACAGATGGGGCATAGATTACCTGGCAGGCAACAAGAGCCAGTGTCTGAGGAAGCCCTGTAATAAAGGCAGAGGTGTCATTCATCAAATTGTGGCCTTAATAGGTCTCTCTCCCTGAACCAGTGACTTGACTAAAGGTATAGTAAAAATAATTTTCATTTATTGTTTTGGCTGCAGTCTGTTAAGCTTCATTTATAATAAATATATACTGTTTTACAAATATAACGTTATTATAAGTAGCTTCAGGAAATGAGCTCAACCAGCATAATGATACCATGCAGTCCTAAAAACCCTGCCTGATTTCCCAGATAAAATCAAATACATACATTATCAAATGACTGCAGGAGGTTATTTTTGGATTAAAAGGTATAGAATGTTAAAGAACATAACATGTAATTTCAGAGACCCTCTGATGTACAATTTTAACTATCTCAACCCCCAAAACAAACAGTTTTAGTTCTTGCTCAACAACTTCTTCCTCCCATCTCTACCAGAGTACACATACTAACTAGCTGGATTGAAATCTGAAGCCTGTTCCAGATATTCCCCTGGCCCCTGGCCCTGCTTTTTTTGTACCACCCTTCTTCAAAATTTCAGTATATATCAGATCTCTTTGTACTTGTAGATGGAGAGGGATGACTGAGTGGGTAAAAAAGCATCATGGTGACAGAGCACTAGCTTTGGAGTCAGAGGGCTTGAATTCAAATTTTGCCTTTGGCACTACATGCATGACCTTGGGCAAGTCATTTAACCTTCCCAGCCCTTAGTTTTCTTATCTGTGAAATGAGGTGGCTGTCACCTCTCAGTATAGGTCTGTATTTGTGATTCTCAGTCATTAAGCACTCATTAAGCACACCCTGTGTACCAGACACTGTGCTAACAGCACTAATAGCAGGGTAGGGGATCAGAAAATAAGGTGGTTATTTTTTTTTTGTTTGTTTGTTTGTTTTTTTTGTGGTGAGGCAATCGGGGTTAAGTGACTTGCCCAAGGTTACACAGCTAGTACATGTCAAGTGTTTGGTCTGAGGTCGGATTTGAACTCAGGTCTTCTTGATTTCAGGGACGGTGCTCTATCCACTGCGCCACCTAGCTGCCCTAAATAAGGTCATTATTTACAAAGCAGTTAGCACAGTGCCTAATGCATCTAGGCACTTCATAAATACTTATTCCCTTCTCTCCCCTTGCTGGAAAAAGTGGGATTTGGGCTGAATCTTAAAGAAATTTTGCAAGGGAAACTAAAAGTTGTAGGTGAGGGGACAGTATTTCAGGCATGGGGGACAGCCACAGAGCAAAGGCAGTGAGATGGAGATCAAGTGTCTTGTTGAAGGAACATAGAGTATGCCAATGTGGTTGGATTGTTACAGGTATGAAAGGGAATGTGGTATAGGAAGACTAGAAAGATGGAGAGAAACCAGGTTATAAAGACCTTTAAATGCCAGATAATTTTATATTTTATCCTGGCGGTAATGGGAGGGCATAGGAGTTGGAAGAGGGGTGACAGATGAGTGGAGGATGGATTGGATTGGGTAGAAACTTGAGGGAGGGAGGCCAGTTAGAAATCTATCACAGACAAGAGGTAGTAGAGGCCTGTACTAGAGAGGTGGCTGTGTGAGTGGAGAGAGGGGACTTTTACAAGAGATGTTGTGAAGGTTGAAACAATAAGATTTGACAACAAACTGGATGTTGGTGAGCTGAATGTGAGTGATGAGGACGATATCCAAGTTGTGAGCCTGGATGACTGGGAGAATGGTGGTACCCTTAACAATAATAGGAAAGTTGGGAAGAAGGGGGTGGGTTCAGGGAGAAAGATAATGAGTTCTATTTTGGACATGTTGAATTTTGAGATGCTTACAAGACATTTGGTTCTAGATGGCCAAAAGGCAGTTAGCAATGTGGGACTGGAACTCAGGAGAGAGACTAGGGATAGGTATTTAGATCTGGGAATCATCTGTATAGAAATGATAATACATGACAGCTGACAGAATCATCATGTGAGACAGTATAGAGAGAGAAGAGGAGGGGAACCAGAACAGAGCCTTGGGGGATATACTCAAAGTCAGTTAAGATCCAACAAAGGAGGCTGAGACGAGCATTCAGGTAGGAGGAGAACCCAGAGAAAACAAATGCCCTGAAAATCTGAGGAGGAACTAGGATTCATGATTTATTAGCATAACCAGGTTCATAGTGAGCTCCTAGGCAATAAATAGTCCGAAGTTACAAACCTGATAAGTTCAAAATATAAAATTAAAGCCTGCTGTGGTTATTTTAAAGTTGTCAGTACTCCCAGGTATTAGGATTGGCTTATAGCTATAGGGTAATCTTTGAAAATCATCCATCTTTTGTACCCAAGTAAACTCATATGAAATCGTTCCAAAAGTTTACAGCTCCTTTCTCTCATTTATATATGACTTGCTACATTCCTTTCATAACACATTCCAAGTCAAACCACTGGTAAAAATTAACAGTCATAATGATAAAACTTGTGAGATTTTACACAGAAAAATAATGGAGATTGGGAATCATTTTAATAGGGTACGGCAGCAGGATTCAGATTTCTAGGTAATATCACCAAATTAATAATTTAAATATTGCATAAATAACCTATTTCACATTTTGATTACATTATAAATATTCCCAGCTCTTGTAAATGGATTCTTGTAAAAGTTTTTCAAGCTCTTGTTTAGATGTTCATAAAAGTATGATGGTGTGGGGCAGCTGGTGGTGCAATGGATAGAGCACCGGTCCTAGAGTCAAGAGGACCTGAGTTCAAATCCGGCCTCAGACACTTGACACGTGGTAGCTATGTGACCCTAGGCAAGTCA